GCTGCAAATCATCCAATGGGCACGGGAGTCGCATAACACCCTGGATTAGGAGGTGGCAGCTCTTGGTTGTCGCACGCATGCGGCTTCTGACAACTGGTGTGAGGGTGCAAGCACCGCTCATACCAGGTGGGAGATACCGAGATGCCTTGCGACTTAAGCCCCTGCACCACGGCAAGGTGCCTGCCATTCGCAGAGGTCAAAGTATAAGTATATTTTACTTTTCGTCAGCAAAAATTATAATGTATTAAAATCATTTTCACATATAATATATCTGACATAAACTCAACCGAAAGTCTAAATTTAATACATTGAGTTGATATGTAAAACGTAATATAGAGGAGCGGAATTGGGTAATAGTCTTAGCAATTTTATATTATTGATTTGATCATAAGCTGTCACACTTCATAGGCAGTATTTCTGCAAAGTTTTATGCCGATACATTCATTGGTGCTTAATTTGTATACTAAAAAGTGAAAGAAGCACATGGAATTTTAAATTGTGTTATATGAGAAGTAGGAGTTGTCAGAATAACTGAAAAAATACCGAATTCAGTTGAAATAGGTTGAGCAGGTCCCGAGATATGAGTTTTCACTTTAATGTGATTTAATGAGAAGACTTTACGTTTTTAACGCGTTTATTTATTGATTTATCGCGCTTTTAGTAATTAACAGAACCGTTATACAGGCAGTGCTCGAGGTTTTAATCCGATTTCATCCATATTTTCAGTGTCAGTAGAAATGCTTAAGGGAGTTGTTCTGAGCTAATTCTGAGCTAATGAGATGACGGGGCCACGCCCACTTGTTCATAATTTTAAGCCCTCAGAGCCAAATTATAGTTTTATCTCTTTATTTTGTGTTTAGTTATAGCACTTTATAGGTCTCGTTTAATGGCGTTTTGTGGACGTGATAGTAGTCCGATTACTCGTCCTCCCTTTTTTACCAAGGAACACGTTTACCAACTTTTGTTACGATATCTTACTTTTTACCAATGTTACAGTTTGCATAGATGGACGCCCGAAAAGACAGTCAACCGGATTTCAACTAGTCTCTTCATCCTGATCATTTATATATATTTAACCCTTTATCTATCTCGATTAGTTTTAGGGATACAAACAACCGTTAGGTGAACGAAACGATTATGCTCTGTAGCAACATGTTGCAAGAGTATAAAAACATACATTAACTTACTAGTACACTAACATTTTAAATGTACAACTAGCAAGGAAATTTCTAAGACAGTAAATTTTGGCACTTGGCAGTAAATGCCAATATAGTCACATACACAGCAAGCACTAACAAAAAAATAAATATGTAAGTTATCGTAATTATAGTTATAAAGTTATAGCATGCAACATAATTTGTCAACAACCGTGTATCCGGTCAATCTAACTGCCAGACGTTGCTTCAGCAATATTATATAATATATATTACTCGCATACGCATCCGGTCAATTAAGAATTGCAGCAAATTGAAAATTACAAAATATAAATCTTTTTAACTAATTTTGTGTCTAAACAGTTCTCAAAACACGCTTAAATACAAAATATAGAAACATATTAAAATATTGCATTGGATCAACGACAACAGCATATGTAAGTTTTCACATGTATGTTAAATGCAAGTAACCTTTGCCCGTGAAAATATTTTTGAAATGAGCGTGTACTATAAACTAATACTTTCAAATTAATTTTATAACATTCAACAACACGATTTTAAAACTTAACTTTTTTTTTATAAAGTAACGAGTAAAGACGACAAAATTCACTTTTTGCCCTAAAAAATTACACTAACATTTATTACTTATACCTATTTATATATTGTATGTACGATGTTATTATGTAGTTCTATTATTTTTATACATAAAACTCACCCGGACATTTCCATTTCTGATGGGAAGGAATACAGCTGCAACCAACAACATACTTGTACTTTCTGCAAGCATCAAACAAATATTAACAAATTGAATTAATTAGTGTTTTTATACTTTCACACTCTGAATGTCTTCTTTTGTCTCTATTTTGATTGCGTTAGGCACTTTTCACTAAACTTAAATTTTCAAAAATTTTCCAAGCTTCTTAAGCTTAATAAAATGTCCTTTGAAATGACTTTCGACATCACACGGTTGCACAAAATACATAGATGTTACAAACCATCACACATATATTCTATAAATATTGTTGCTAAATTGGAAACATTTAATAATATTTCATTTTTTTATTTTAATATTTTTAGAAATTTTAATAATTGAAAAATATTTGAATATGTAATAAAAACGTTCTTAAAGTTATAAATTTTAAAACATAACACGGTAGGTACCCGTACCAAGTGCCTAATTAGCCTAATATTTGGGGGCAACACTTACCGAGTGTCTCCTTTTTGTGTATGTGTTAGTGAAAAATTTATAATTGGTTACTTGTTAGTATAATGGTATGTAGTTTCAAGAACGATAATTCCGGATTTATATTGTAACGGATTTCTTGATAAAACTTCTCCTTTGTAATTCACTCTTGAGTTCGATCACTGGATTGTTAAATAAAAGTCCCAATTCAGTGGCTATACACTTATTTTTATTTGTAATCCAAACAACCTAATGTTTTACTACTCATTATCCGAATTTACAACTTTTACTTATATCTCAATTGCCCTTTACATGGCAGCACTCTAACTAGAACTGTGTCTGCTGCACAATCCAGCAGCATTTATATAGTAGCTCCTTAATAAAACTTCGCCACTCGAACGTTCCGGCAACAACGAATTTCGCTTAGTTACGTAGTATGTAACTTGGCCGTAACTGATTGACAACAACCAACCAAATAAAATCTTTGCTTTAACTTCTCCGAGATCGTCATAATTCTCTAGTGCCCTCCACTTGGACCAGGAATTCTAACCTTTGGAACAATCATAAGTGGTCGGGAGATTTTCATCCATCTTTGCTTTTCCATATTCGATGTAAACAGCCACACACCAACTTTAAACTGCTCTGTTCTGCCCAATGCGACTGAGCTTTCTGGATCATTTCTTCACTTGTTGTACATTTGTTCAACTCCATTTCATGCATTGCACCTTGCATTACCTTGATCTTCTTGCAAAGTCTCATCCATTTCAGCCTTAATTTTATCCTGCTCTACTGACTGTAAGGACACCTGTGCTAATATATGCGCTTCCTTCTCTCCAATTGTGAGGACACTTGTGCTGGAACACAAGCTTTTATCTCTTCTGACTGAGAGGACATCTGGGCGGGGGTACACGGTTCTTGCTTTCACGACTGCTCTTTCTGCGTTGATATATATAGCTCCAACTGTGCTGACATACACGCTTCAATTGTTTCAAACTGTGCTGACAAATGTGCCCTACCGCGTTTCTAACTGTGAGCACAATTGGAACTACATGTGTGTTGACTTCTCTGCTATTTGTAAGGCTACTTGCGATGCCCGTGAATCCTGATTTTTCATCTGTGTCGATATTTGCGTTGACATCTGCGACATTGCAGCCACAAACGTGTCCATGTCCATAACTTTTAATGAGCATTGAATCTCTTTATTTTCTTTTTTCTACGTTGTTTCTTCATCCAATTCCGATTGAAAGACATACTCCCCTGCAAGACTGGTATTTATTAGCAAACGTGTTAAATACTTGGTACTGTTCACTCATGTATAAGTTAAAGATTTGGTTACTTTTGTTCAGCGAGTGGAAAAAATGTAACTCATTGTTCCTTGAATGTTCAATGTCTTTCCCGCTCTATCGCGGGAATCGTCTCTTTCTATGACACCTCTCCTATGTGTATTCTATTGGGTTTGTTTTGGTTAGTGGTATTCCATATATTGGTTACCGAATCTGTTAACAGTCTTTTAGATGCAACAATTGCATGTGTTACCGAATATGTTAGCTATGTGTTACCTCTACATGTGTTAGGGTTACCTACATATGAGTTATTCCTAACAGCAAAATCAGTTACCCTAAGTGTTTTAATTTGGTTATCAGTTTTTTACCTCTAACATATAAAGTCGGATATCCAAAACGTTTTTAAACTTCCGCTAGAGGCTTTGGCATGAAATAGACAAGCTCAGAGGCGAAGGGATGTGAGCCGATTCCTCGTTCTGCATATCCTTTAAGATAATTGTGTGTTGGAGGATTTTTCGTTCCAGTGAATCCCATAGGCGCTTTGTAGGATTGAAATATAGTAATTCTGCTTAGGAACGTTGTAGAATAACCAAAGCTTAACTATGTCTATGCTGTTCAGGTCGTTATCCTGTAGAATAGCAATCACTTCCAAGCCACAATTCTTCCACTCAAATGTGTTTCAAATGTGTTTTTGAGATAATAAGGTATGCATATTTGTTCTTGGTGGACTCTATAACTTCCATTCGGCCCACTCCATTACTAGTTATGCACCCCCATATCATTACTTCTTCACCACCGTGCTTCACAGTATTTATCAAGATTTCTTTATCTAGTGCCTTGCTCGTTTTTCGCCATAAAATATTTTCTGTCACATGGTTACGTGTTTCATTTTTGGCTGGCCTGGACGCGCCGAGATATAATAAAGCCGGTATGTTTGTAATTTTTTATAATTCTTCTTATTGAAGTATGTATTCTTTCAACAATACAAAAATTTAATCATTATTTCCCTTTCAGAAGATCCCTTTGTTTTCTTTTAGGCGAGATTCGATGCTCTAAATTTAATAACAAACTGAATAAAATAAAAATCGTTTAAAATTGCTACTTTTACGTAAACTAGTAAAACTATAACTTTCCGGCACTTTTACTCTTCCGAATAAAAGTCGCCGATGTTTCAGTACCTTCTGACATGAGTAATGACTCTATGGTTATCGTGTTTGTATTTAAGATCTTATCTAGTGTCATATGTGTTTTGTATGTTACTTATCTTTGCAACTAACTCACTTATCATTATCGTTCATTACTTAAAATTACTCAGTAATTAAAAATATGCATACATACTTAGACGTAATGACTTCATTTTCTATGTGTTTTTTATTTCAGAGGCGTCCTCAATAGTTTTCCAGACATTCTCTCAACACACAAGGCTGCAATACAAGAGCGCAAAAAATGCGAACGTTTAACCTCTGAGCAAAAGATGAGCAATGCACAAATGACCGATATGAATAATCGCACCAATGTTATTTCCTATTCTGTAATGGCTGTAATGTCGCATTTTAAAGAAGAATGTGATACATATATGAAACAGGCGCTTAAATCATTTATAGAAGAGCAAATTAAGTTCTATTCAAATGCCGTTAATGTTGCAGCCAGGAGGAATATAAATTTCAATCAGGGAAATGTTTAGTGATCTTTCAACAGCAAATACTACATTTGAAGTCCAAATCGGGGCAACAAAACGATGAAACGTACGAATAACTTATTAGCTTTATCAAGTTAAATTTTGTTCATATTGCAACGGATTTCTCGATAAATCGTCTACCTTGTAACTCACTCTTGAGTTCGATCACTGGATTGTTAAATAAAATTCCCAATTTAATGGCTATACACTTATCTTTATTTCTAATTCCAACAACTTAACACTTATTACTCGTTATTCGAGCTTACCATTTCTTGTTTATGTCTCAATTGCTCTTAACACAACAACACTCTAACTAGAACTGTGTCTGCAGCACAATCCGGCAGCCCTTATATTGTAAATCTTGAACAAAGGTTCACTAATAGAACATTCTGGCAACTACGAATTCGCTGTATAGTTGCTTCTGGCAGTTTATCGTCGATTCTGATTTGTTCGGGTATTCGTGTTCGCCACACTGCACTCTACCTAAGTCTGATCGTCCCGATTAGACATATTTGCGGTACCAAACGCTGCAAGCCGTTCCAGATGAACCACCTTCTTGTATTCCTTGGTCTTCCAATGGTCTGTATGTGATACACTACATCATTGAGTCGTTAAATAACCTGGTATGGTCCTTCCCAATTACCCTGTAATTTGAGAGATAACCCTTTCTTTCGTTGTGGGTTATATAACAATACCCAATCGCCTTCAATAAAACCCTCAGAGTTTATTGCCTTATCGTATTTTGCTTTCAGCTTATCGCTCATAATTGTGGTGCGCTGTCTCGCCATGACATGTATATCCCTCATCTCGTCTTCTAGGATGCTATTGAATTCCTTAGCATTCTTTCCTCCGTTGCCGTTATTTCCAAATTTCAAATCAATCGGTAGTCGAAGATCATTACCAAAAATTACCTTTGCTGGAGTCTGCCCCGTTGTTTCATGTACAGCATACCGATAAGCCATCAGGAACCGGATATATTTGGGTATTACAATCTATTTGATACTTGTCCACACCTTTTCTTAAATAATCTTACAAAGTTCGATTGAATCGTTTTACCATGCCATCGGACTGCGGATGTAGCAGTTGTACGGGTTTTCCAAAGCTGATTCAAAGTTTCTCTCTTGGTCAGAATGTAATTCTATTGGAACACCATATGTCTATACCCAATTCTTGATGAATACATCCGCTACTGTTGCTGCCTCTTGTTTAGGAATTGCGTATACCTCTGGACATTTACTGAAATACTCCATGACTAACAAAAGATATTTGTTTCCTAGTTTACTGATAGGAAATGGACCAGCTACATCCATAGCAACTCGCTCAAACGGCGCTCCTAAGTTGTACTGCTTCATCTGACCATGACTCCTGGACCTCGGCCCTTCAGCAGCAATACACTCGACACAATTGGCGATCCACACAGTAACTGGTTGACGACAACCAACCCAATAAAATCTTTGTTTTAATTTCTCCAAGGTTTTAGTGATATTCATGTGTCCTCCACTTGGACCGTTGTGCAGCTCATTGAGAACTATGGAAATTCTTACTTTCGGAACAATCCGCAGAGCTCGGCAACTTTGCCCATCTTCGCATTCCTGCAAGCAAGCAGCCAAATACCAACTTTAAACTGTTCCGCCCTGCCCAATATGCTTTTGCGACGAAGCTTTATAAATTTATTTCTCCACTCCTTTTACATTGGTTCAACTCCACTTCATGCATTACACTTTCTGGACCTTCTTGCAAAGAGTCATCCGTTTCAGGTTTAATTTTATCCTGTTCTTCCATCTGTGAAGACATCTGTGATGGTATACACGCTTCCTGCTCTTCCAAACTGTAAGGACACTTGTGCTGGTATTCAAGCTTCTTGCTCATTCGCCTGTGAGAGCTCTTATACTGATACACACGCTTCCTCCTCTTCCAACTGTAAGGACATTTGTGACAGTATACAAGCTTCTTGCCCTTCTGACTGTGAGGTCCCTTTTACTGGTTCACACGCTTTCTCTTCTTCCAACTGTGAGGACACTTGTGCTGATATATGTTCATTCTTCACCGCGAACCACTGCTTTGATAACGTTTGTGATATACGTTAATTTTGCGCTGCGAATTCTCTTTAAACTGCGTTGATGTCTGTGTCGATATCTGCGTTGACATCTAGGACATTCGCACTGACATTTGTGATATTGCAGCCAAAACAACCTCTGTTGAAGTCTCTTCCTTTTCTTGTATTCTTGTTGTTTCTTCCTCTAATTCCAATTGTTCAAATATCTTTGAACATGCTTATCATTGATATGCTGAGGTAGTACAAAACGTACATACTCATATTCATAACAAACACATACAGTCCACTAAATTTAAATAATTAATTTCTTTCCCTCGGCAATGTGTTCAAATATCTTTGAACATGCTTATTTTTTAGCATCGACAATGCCAAGGAAGTGTAAGATATATAAGTATACTAGGATGGAGCGAAAAAAAATTTTTTGTTTGCTTAGCGGGGGGGTAAAATCTGTAGATTATAAAAAAGAAAATTTTTGGACAAAAAAATAAAATTTTTTTTTAACATATTAACATTTTAACATTAACAACAGTTTTAAAGTAAATTTTCGAGTTAAAATTTCTTATTTCGTAAAAAACTTTTGATAAGTGTTCTAGAAGCAGTGGAGAGTCATCTTTCTGGCCAATTAAAAGTTATCAAGTGTAAAAAATTTGTATGGTCATTATTGGAGTTTTACAAAAAAGTCTTAAAAGACAACATGCTTTCCTTAAGCGCTCTTGTCCAAACAAAATTTTTACTCGAAATTTACTTTAAAACTGAGTGCGCCGCCTCTAGATGTTAAAAGAAAATTTGTTTTTTGTCCAAATTTTTTTTTTTTTATAGTCTAGAGATTTTTAGAATAAAAATTTTCGCTACACCCTAGTATATACATAAAAATATCACATAAAATGCATTAACATGCAATACGCATGCATTCCATTCAATAGTCGATAGTAAAAGCCTATTGATTTAAGATAGGAACATGCAACTAAAAAAAATAAATACACGAGGTTTAAGTTCACTCCAATTGTATGGCCTTTAATTCAGCTCAAGTGCTTAAACAATAATGATTTCTTAATAATAAGCTTACTTATTCATCACCCACACTTCGAGCTCCTATCTCTCAGTATATGAGGCGAAATGTGAGAGAGGCGTTTAGAAGTAGAGTTACACACGTACATATGTAGTCGACATATATACGTATATATGTTACTTGCACATGTTTATATGTACATATTGTACCCAATCGGTTCTAAAACTACATTTAAGCAATTGCTTGTTTACATTGAAAACAACCCTTATCACGTAACATAAACAATGAGTAACACACATATTCACATACACACATACACATATATTTAGTTAGTTAAGATAGTTTTAAAATTTGTATATAAAGCCTTCAAAAATTAAATAAAAATCAGAATGAATATATTCTCAGCTCAGTGAAGATATTTTTTTTTCCCCACCAGCGGTAAGAGTCTAAAGAGTCTTCATTGAGTTTATACATTGGTCCTTCCAGCCGGATAAGGAGCTCGGCCAAAATAAGTCCTGATATACATGCAGACCTGTATTTATAAAAAAGGCAAAAACAATAGTCCTGTAATTTACACGGGCATAAAAAAGCCCTGTTAAAAATACAGGCTAATTCGAACAAAAGAAACAATAAGACGGGTGTATATTCCCGCAGTTTTAATTGATCATTTTAAATTGAGTTTAATCACCAATTGAAACACATATTTGTCACCTTTAACGTTTTCTGCTTCCATGGCCTCTTGTAAACGTGACTGTAAGTCGGCCTTTACTCCATTTGTTGCCAAATCACGTTGCTCCAGCTCTTTTTCAGTTGTGAAATATTCAGATTATTAAACTTAGCCATTTTCAAACCATTCTCTTTTCAGGAGTTTATTTGACAATCCCACTTCTGACACCAATCGTAACGGATTTCTTGATAAATCGTCTACCTTGTAACTCACTCTTGAGTTCGATCACTGGATTGTTAAATAAAATTCCCAATTTAATGGCTATACACTTATCTTTATTTCTAATTCCAACAACTTAACACTTATTACTCGTTATTCGAGCTTACCACTTCTTGCTTAAGTCTCAATTGCTCTTAACACGACAACACTCTAACTAGAACTGTGTCTGCTGCACAATCCGGCAGCCCTTATATTGTAAATCTTGAACAAAGGTTCACTAATAGAACATTCTGGCAACTACGAATTCGCTGTCTAGTTGCTTCTGGCAGTTTATCGTCGATTCTGAATTGTTCTGGTATTCATGTTCACCACAATATTTATATATACGCTAATTTCATATACTTTATGCTTATACAATACATTTATAATTGTGGCATATGTAATTTTTTATAACATTGTATAGTTGGAGGTACTTTATGTGTACGTGTCTGCGTACACGCCTATTTCTTATTTTCTTTTGTTAAAATATATCTTTTATATACGAAATTTTAGAATAAAATCACACTAAGTGCTTCGTTACTAGTCTGTTGCATAATCCCATAGAATTTACAGCAGTGAAAATCTGATACCATAGTTGAATCGATAAATTTACACAAAATTGTCACTTCGTAGCGCAGAAATAGTCTGAGTACAAGTAGTAAAATGAAAATTATTCGAAAGAGTAAAAGTGTCGGAAAGTTATGGTTTTACTAGTTTACGTAAAGGTAGCAATTTAAAAAGCAGCATTCAGTTTGTTAATAAATTTAGAGCATCGAATATCGCCTAAAAGAAAACAAAGGGATCTTCTGAAAGGGAAATAATGATTAAACTTTTAGAAGAAGGAAATATGGTGAAATCGGTTGAATTGTTGGAAGAACACATTCTTCAATATAAAGAATAATAAAAAATTACAAACATACTGGCTTCATTATATCTCGGCTCGTCCAGGGCAGCCAAAAATACAGAAATTACAGAAAATATTTTATGGCGAAAAACGAGCAAGGCAATAGTAATAATTTTCCATGTATGCAATATGCACAATTTCATATTCAGAAAGCGTTTCCTTATTTCCCAATCCCATTATATACGAATTAAATAATTATCAAAAAATAATATATCAATAGGGTTTTTAAGGCTATTCAAAGAAAGAAAGATAGATAGCATCAAATA